ATCTGGAGTTTTACATTGCACATTCTGTTTGCCTTTTACTACATACCAATCGCTACTTCTTTTCGTCATATTATATCTTCTTCAGTGAGGTCTCTTTTTGTCATTTCTATTTGCCCGTTCCACTGTGATCTAGGCCTTTCTCTTTTCCTCTTTCTATGTTTGGTTTCCATTTCCAAATTCTCAGAGATATTCTTATCTCGTTACAATATATAAAAGTGCACTAAAGTCATCAATGTTTTTTTACGTTTTTAATATTTTGGTGAATAATAATTCGTTAGTTTTATCCTTAATATTATTATTAATGTCCCTGAGTAGCATATGGCATGCTAACCGTTCTTGTTTTTTTTTTGTTCTAAATATTGTCTTCAATGAATTCCTTCACATCACTAGATGGTGAACGATAAAGACAAGTAATTAAGATTTTCTTAGTATTTTCGAATTAAATAAGTAATTTAATTCCTTGAGAATGCCCAAGCATTACATTTTTATGCGAAAAAGTAATGGTTTTTTTATATCTACTGCTACTTCGTCATTTTTATTGCAATTTGAATTACTATACAAGAATATGTACTCATGGTTATTATAATATTTTACATTACAAAGTTTGAAAGTTTCAGTTAGTACTATTAAATCAAAATCTGAATTTGGTTCACTTAATACCGCACTAAACTCATCAATGGTTTTTTTTAAGCTTATAACATTTTGGTGAATAATTTTTAAGTTAATTTGATTATTTTTCGCTTCAATAAACTCATTTAGTTGCACTTTTTCATTTATCTCGTATCAGAAGGTTCATACCTCGTATCATCATTGATTTTGAAAAGGCATCGCATTCAGCATACCAGACTAATTACCGCCTTGCAGAGCATCCAACTAGATGAGAAAGACATCAACCTTATTGCCAAACTTTACTGGAACCAAACAGCTATTATTAATACCAACAACAGAGAATCAAAGCCAATCAGTATTGAACGAGGCTTAAGACAAGGCTGTATACTATCTCCCACCCTCTTTAACGTGTATTCTGAGAATCTGTTTAGGGAAGCTTTAAAAGATCAAAAAGGAATTATCATAGGAGGAGAAATAATTAACAATATACGGTACGCCGACGATACTGTGATTCTAGCTAAAAACATCGACGATCTGCAGGAGCTAATCAATAGAGTTGACATGGAATGCACAAATTGGGGACTGTCGATAAATATTGATAAAACTAAATACATGGTGACCAGTAAAGTGGATATCGGAGCAACCCAACTGATATTAAACCAACAACCGCTGCAGAGAGTTCAGAGATTCAAATACCTTGGATGTTGGATTACCCAAAATCTAGATCCACCTGTATGACAGATTCGGTATAGCACAAGGAGGTGGAATATTTGAGCCCTTAGTTCATTAATCTGCTTTCCTAATTTTTATTTTTTGTTAGGTATATCTTACGAAGTTTGTAGGTTCTTAATTAGGCAGTAATTTTTATGTTTAAATTTGGAAGAATTTTATTGTTTTTTTTTTTATTTAAAAGTACAAACGATTGTTATTCTGTTTTTTTTTAGTATCTATTGTTATAAGCTTTGTCCATAAAATTTGTACAATTTTTAGTAACAATACAGCATATTACTTATTTACTTACTTATTTATTTGTAGATATTGCTATTAATGCTAAAAAACAAAAAACTAGTTAAGAAAAAGAAATAAAACACAAAAAAATCAAAGTAGGTAATATCGAATGTCAAAAAGAATTTAATTTTAGTGGAATACAAAGTTTGTTTATTTTTTTTGTTTCTTTTTTTGTCATAGAGTGATTTCTTTCCTTACTAACTGCAGTATTTGGATTGAACTATTTATCCTATACAGACAAAACGTTTTCGGAATCCATATTCCATCATCAGAGTCTAGGAGTACATGAATGTAGCCACTAAATATATGGGTAAAAACCTGTTAACAAATAATTAGTTACATTTAGTTTACAAAATTTCTTTTAATGATTTAAGATGTTACAGTTACCGTTGGATTAGGTAACATGGCGGTATATCAATATTCATCCTATAGTCATTAAACCTTCTTCTTCTCTGTCTTGTCTTCTTCTGTTTTTGAATTTTTCTCTTTCGTTATTCTCGATTTTTTTTGTCCGATCACTACCGATTTTCCAATGCAATTTATAATTTCTGATAAAGCAGATATTTTTTATGTCCTGCCTAGCGAGTCGTAGATGTTTATGTAGTATTTTATATTTTTCCTGTTGCTCTCTTGTAAGGTATTTATATTTATATTTGTTTCTTTTAAATTTTTTAGTTCCTTCAATACTTTTAATTTTAAAGAGATGATACGAATTCGATCTTTGTAGTACTGTCAAGTTGTTTTCCAAGTGTGTAGATATTATTTATTTCAGGCTCGGTGATAGTTGAGCTTAACATATTGTTCAGTTCGCAAATATATTTAACAACATATACAACTCTGGAGAAATACCAACAGAATGGCTCAAGTCTTAGTTTATTGCACTTCCAAAATCACCAGTAGCCAAAAAATACGAAAATTACCGTACTATAAGCTTCATGAGTCATCTCCTAAAATTTTTCTTAATGATAATTCATAAGTGAATCTACAAGCTCTGTGAAAGTCAAATTTCCCCCAAGCAGTTCGGGTTTATAAATACTGTTGGTATTAAAAAGGCTTTGTTCTCAATTCAAGTCTTATTCTGGAGATGCAGAGACGTCAACTGCGACGTATACGCATGTCTGGTGGAGTACGAGAAAGCGTTTGATCGAGTACAGTACGTCAAGATGATGCAAATACTAAAATAAGCAGGAATTAACAACCAAGATCTGGAATAGAAATCTTTACTGGAATTAAACAGCAAATCTCAGAGTTGAAGGTGGACACACTGACTATCTGAAAATCATGCGTAGAGTGAGGCAAGGCTCTATTTTGTCTCTTCTAATCTTCAATCTGTACTCTGAAAGAATATTTATCTAAGCTTTGCACGAAACTGAAAAAGGTATTCTACTAAATGGTTACCGGCTAAACAACATCAGATATGCAGATGACTTCATAGTATTTGCGGACAACTTAGAAGACCTACAAGTTTTTATAAACAAAATCGCGTATTACAGTCAACAATATGGACTCAATATAAACGTTAGAAAAACAAAGCTTATGATAATTAGCAAGAAAAGGATAACAGAAGGTCAACTCTACGTCAGCAAATCTCCTGTAGAAAGTTTGACGCACTACAACTACCTCGGCACTATAATAAATGAAGAATGGATCAACAACCAGGAGATTAGAGCACGCATCGCAAAAGCTTAATTCACCTTCAATCGGATGGGGGGTCTTCTTCAAGAGCCACAACCTCTCTCTTGATACAAAAGTAGGAATACTACTTCTCCCCTGTCCTTATTGTGGTGTTGAATCGTGGACTTTGAACGAAGATATGTGCAAAAACTGAAAGCATTTGAGATGTGGTTATATCGGAGAATACTTAAGATCCCATGGACTGACCGAGTCACAAATGAGGAGGTCCTCAGAAGAATGAATAAGAACCGAGAGGTACTGACCACCATTAAATCTCGAAAGTTACAATTCTTCGGACATATTCGGCAAGGAAAAATATTTGGAAAGCGAGGTCCAGAAAGAAGAAGAAGATCTTGGTTAAAGAACCTTAGAATTTGGTTCAAAACATCTATTCAGCTTTTCCGCGCTGCTGCAGATAATACAAAGATTGCCATGATGATCGCCAACATTCGTTACTGATAGGCACATCAAGAAGAAATTGTTCAGTTGATCAATGATACTTTTAATTGGTAATTCTTGTTTTTCTCGAACAATCCCAAAAATAACTATGTTATTTTGTCTTTTATATTTCTCAGTTATTTCTACTATTTTCTTTAAGTATTCATTTCTTTTTCTAAATATTTTACTTTCGTGTTATTTTTTTTAATTTGTAGAGCATCTAACTTCTAAAGGATTAATCAAATTCTTTAGATCGGTGTTTACTTTTCTAATTTCTTCAAACAATGCATTATTTGTAACTGCAATATTTTCCATTATTTTATTCAGTATATGTCAAATAGTATATGATCACAAAATGGTTAATTAATTTGGGTTTAGATAACAAAGCAAATCGTCTTTGGTTTTTGAATATACCTACTTCAAATGTTATTTTTAAGGTTATGTAAAGCTTATATTATTTATACTGATAATATCATCGAGTTAGAATCTAAACTCGATGGATAATATACTTAGAGTAAGCTTTTTTCTTTTTTTTTATTTGGTTTTTTTATCTTTGTTCTCAACTAGGTGTATTTGGGTTTTCTTTATAGTATTATCTATAGGTAAAAAATATCTGTAGGTACCCAAAAAGGTACCATTTTTGATTCTATACTTTTACCCCCATTAAATTTTATTTTTGCGGTGTTATGGAATGTGACATACCTTGTCGGCATATTTTCAAACTTTCTAAGGTAATACTAATAAAATTCAGATAGAGTATAACCATGTGATAAACTGATAATAAAGTAACAGCTACTGTCTAATAGGGAGCAGTCAGACGTTGTTTGTGCCAAAATTCCAGTGTTTTATATGTGTGGGGTGATACATACATCACCATACCAATATAAGGTTAAAGTTTAAAAATTATCATTATCAGTTACCACTTGGTGTAAAATAAAGCTCTATTTTTCAAGATTATCAGTTACGTTGATAGCAATAATAATTGACTTTGCTCGCATAATCGCGAAATAACGTCGATTTATTTTAAATAAATGATTTAATTATAATTATTTAGCACACATACAACAAACAAAGTAGTAATTTACTTGTTACTCAGTTATCAGTAAAATTTACGTGTTAGGTATAGTTTTTTAAGTGTTTTGGAAAAATCAGTCCTCTATAAAAATAAATTTATGTCATTGCTCGGTTGTTTGAACTTTTAATCCCTGAACAGTAATCTTCTAAGCGATAACCCGTTTAATTTCCTGGCTATCATCTATATTCTTTTTTAGAGTCAACAGCAATGTCCCCCGATGGCAGAAATCTCCCCGTGCTCCTGTACGGTCAAAAAGAATGGCCTGGACATCCTCTGCGAGTTCACCGATCAACAACACATTAACGATGCCATGGGAAAACTCAAAGGAAAATCTCTGACCATTTTTTATTTGAAGTTGAGACACAACAACCTGCGAAAATTAACTGGTTTTATTTTCCTCGGTTTAGACATCAGACATCTCACTATACACAATAGCAGTTTGTCGGTTGTGGAAGAAGCCTCACTCAGTTCGATCGGTAAGTTTATTTCTACTCTTTTATGAGCGTTGAAAGATAATACGTTTTTTTATAAATGTCCGATGTCTTGCCAGACAAAATACAAGTATCTGCAGTTATGAAATCGTAAAAAATATAAAGGTATTATACAAAGCAAAAAGCGTGTAGTGGAGAATTCAAATATACCATAGATACTTTATATCTGCAGAATATAAACAATGAACAATATAGTGTCGCAAAAATTTGTTTAATACAATACATCTTGAAATTGGGGTAATTACTCGTAAATTATCACAAAAATTAAAAAAAAAATTATAACAATATATCTTTAAAGTTTTGAAAAATTGTCATTTTTATTGTAATATTTCACTATACTCAAACTAAATATAAAACATTATTTAATGCAAGACCTCTTAAAATTTATGTAATTGTAAATAGATTATCACAGTAGTTTTAAAAATAAAATAAAAATATTTGTTAAGGGTTCTACTGATCTTCAAAGTTTGGAAAACTTTGAAGATCGGTAGAACCCTTACGGAGAAGGTGGCTCGGGGTGGTCGACACGTCGTTCGACGTTCAACATCATTACTATTCAATCACAAATTAACCTCTTAATCTCTAATATCACATTATTCTTAACTTATTAATTATATTTTAATAATTAGTTCATTTACCTACAACAAAATAAATTTCCGAATAATATATTTTCTACTTGAACTTCCTAAGTGTCACAATTAAGGCCTAGATTAAATTGTAATGTAAGCAAATTGTTCAAAGCATGGTATGATAGAAAAAGCAATAACCTCTCTGCTGAGGTATAATTTATTTGTGAGATTATAAATTGAAGATTTGAGCACAGTCTATCATAAGTAGTTACCTAACGACCATCATATTGTCTAATCACTGTTACCTGTCAATGTGCTGACTATAGAACCATCAGTTTGTTAAACCACTTATTGAAAATTTGTGTGAAGGTAATACATGGTCGTATTTAAAAGAAATGCGATGACACTTAATTTGGTATTTGCATAGTATGGTATGGTATTTGGTATTAAAAGAGGAGTACGGCAGGTATGCCTCTTGTCATCCCTGCTTTTCAACGTTTACTCCGAAAGAATTTTCAGAAAAGCACTTTCTGAAAAACAAGAACAAATACTTGTGAAAGGCGAAGTCATAAATAATTTGGGATATGCGGACGATACAGTACTCCTAGCTTCTAGTCAAGAAGATCTGCAAACACATCTTGATAGAGTCGTTGAGAGTTGTAGGGAAGCAGGTCTGGTTCTGAACATACGGAAAACCAAAATACTCGTAATAAGTAAACAACAGCATAAAAACCGTCTATATGTAAATAATACCAAACTTAAGCTAGTTGATAAAATCGTTTACCTCGAACAGCAATTAAATTGTAACGCAGAAAGTCACGCCGAAATTAGATCTAGGATAGAGCAGGCTAGAGATGCTTTTAGAAGGATGTCCAAGGTGTTAGGTAACACAGACCTAAAATGGCATTGAGGATCCGCCTACTTCGCAGCTACGTGTTTTCGTTTGTACTTTGTGGTGTCGAGTCCTGAACTGTAAATAAAATCGATCTAAATCACCTTAAGGCTTTCGAAATGTGGTGCTATAGAAGAATTTTAAAAGTTTCCTGGGTGGACAAGATTCGAAACTCCACAATACTAGCACGTCTCAGCAAGACTACTGAGATTATAAAAAGCATCAAGCAGAGAAAGCTGGAGCATTTCGGATATGTAATGAGAGGTCCCAATTATAGGTTGCTACAAAATATCATGCAAGGAAAAATAGCAGGCAAACGCAGTACAGGACGAGAAAGAACCTCATGGTTGAAGAACTTGCGAGATTGGTATAGTATTGATACAAGCATGCTATTTAGGGTGGCAATAAATAAAATTAAGATAGCTATAATGGTAACTAACGTTCTGCAAGAACATGGTACATAAAGAACAAGTTTGTGTTTCTGGGTTTGGGTTTTGCTGTCAGAAATCTGTTGGACTTTTTATTGAGCCAACGATTAAAGTTAAATCTTTGCTATTCCTTGCTGCTCTTATTCAGAAACACCCACACCTACCCAGTTTTTCGTATTCCGTGTACAGGAATCTCACCCATACAAACCGTTATTTCAATGAGGTCACATAATCAACAAGCTCAACTTAATTTAGTTATCAACACTTTTGTTTCCCGTTTTATAAGACTTGATTTTGAAAATCACGGATGATTCGAAATCAATTCAATAAGGCAAAGACTCTTACAAAACGGCTACCACAAAATCCAAATGAATAGTAGCATTCAAAAACATCTAAACCCCATTTTATTCAAAACAGGAACTTTTGTCGCCTGATCAAGCCAAAATCTCTCTACCTTTTATCAAAAGTGTCCCAGACAAGATTAGTAGAACCTAGTAATTTAGGAAGAATATATCTTTCTAAAAATTTAAATTTTTTAAATAAAAAAAAATCTTTGAAAAGAGCTGTTGCCAATATTGCCTACATTCTCAAGCGAAAAAAAAATGCCCGGAAAAGTTAAAAAAGCTGCCACCACGGGGCATCTTTAAAACCAAACACATCCCGTATTCAACAATTTCGTTGTTAAAGCAAATATTTTTGAATATTGTACTTATTCAGAATACATCTAAATATTAACAAAGGTCATTTTATCGATGCAGTTGTATAAAAGTCACGAACAAAAAAATATTTTCCCTACGGATATAAAAACGGTTCGGAATAAAATTCCATGAATTATTAAAACTGAAATCGAACATAACAAAAGCAATATATACAGGAATATTTTACGGTACAATTTTTTTGTGGTTAGGATTATTAAAGAATATTTTTTCACATCGCAGTTGTATTTTTGTGTGTTGCGTGTTTTTCTAACGCGTCAAGACTAAAAAAAACATGCTTGCTGAATAGATGTAAACTAAAAAAAATCCATTTTTTTCTGGGATCCGTAATAACTAAGAAGAAAGCATCTTTACTAAATGCAATTATAATAAAATTTATTAGTTTGTTGAAAAAAAAACTAATACTGAATTAATTTATAATTTCTGTGACTGAGGTGAGTAAGCACATAAGTCAAATTTTTCGATTTTTTTTGATAAAAATGTGTTGGTGATTTGTAATGCTATCATCGGCTCTAAGCACTTTAGTCTACTATGCATTACTATGCATTTTTACAGCTATTATTGCGAATTTTGCCTAATAACCATACTAAGAAAATACCGACTTGGGTTTGTGAATAAACACTTAAGTCGACTGTGAAGAAATTCAGTTGGAACTCTTATGTTACTTTCTTCTTCTTCTTCTTAGCCTTCTGTCGTCCATGTATGGACATAGGCCTCTCCCAACTCCTTCCATCGGTCTCTATCCTGAGCACCATATTTCCAATTTGTTCCGGCTATTCTTTTAATGTCATCAACCCATCTCATCTGTGGTCTTTCTCTTGGTCGTTTACTTTCGTAAGGTCTCCAATGTTGAATTGTAGTATTCCAACGTTGGTCTTTCTGTCTAGCAGTGTGGCCCGCGAAGTTCTATTTAAGTTTGGCAATTTTTGTTGTTATGTCCTCGACTTTTGTTTTGGATCTTACCCAGTCATTCCTCTTTTTATCTGACAGTCGTATACCTAACAATGCTCTTTTCATTGTTATTTCCGTTGTGGCTAGTTTATTGATGTTTGCCTTGGTTATGGTCCAGGTTTGACATCCATATGTCATGGTAGGAAGGATGCATTGGTTGAACACTTTGCTCCTCAAGTATTGGGGTATTTTGCGGTACTTAAGTATCTAACTAAATTTTCCAAATCCTGCCCATGCTAGTCTTGCTCTTCTAGTAATTTCCGCACTTTGGTTCTCTTTGTCAAGTCTCGGGATTTGGCCTAGGTAGATATATTCACTGCCGTTAGATATCTCACTGCCTTTTATAGTTATATGTCTGGGGTCATCTGTGTTTGTCATTATTTTTGTTTTTTTCATATTCATTTTTAGGCCGACGTATTTGTAGCTGGCTGCTAGTTTCCCTAACATAACTTGCAGTTCCTCGAATGTGCTCGCTATAATCACTATGTCGTCAGCGAATCTGAGGTCGTTTAACTTGTTGCCATTAACGTTAATGCCATAGGTTGACCAATTTGTAGTTTTGATGACGTCTTCTAGGGCTAGGTTGAAAAGCTTTGGCGATATTACGTATCCTTGTCTCACTTCTCTCTTAATGGGGATGGGATTTGTATTTTCTTCTAGTTGTACTATCATAGTTGCATTTTTATATATAAAATGTATTAGTTGCCTGTATCTCGAATTTATTCTACAATTATTAATAGCTTGATGAAAAAGAAATACGGGTAGTTGGTATTCATTTGCTTTTTCTCTATCAATGTTCTCATTGTCAGCAGATGGTCTGATGTACTATACCCTTTGCGGAAGCCAGCCTGTTCGACCGGTTGGTAATTATCCATTTTGTAGGTTAATCGGTTATTAATAATTCTCATAAATAGTTTGTATACTTGACTGAGCAACGATATAGGTCTATAATTCTGTAGATCACATTTGTCCCCTTTTTTGTGTAGGAGTATTACTAGACTCTCTTTCCAGTCTTTAGGGATCTGGCTATTATGGAGACATCTATTAAAAAGCTCTGTTAGTACAGGGATTGTTAATGTCTTGCTTGTTTTCAAGAGCTCGGCAATTATACCGTCGTGTCCTGGAACTTTAAATTTTTTTAGTTCTTCTAAAGCTCTTTCTATTTCGTATCCCTTTATATTTGGTAGTACTTCTGATCCCACGTTTTTTATTTTTCTTTTGACGTTCTCTTTTGTTGTTTCATTAGGCTGTCCTTGCGAGCTGTACAAGGATGTGTAGAAGTCTTCGACAATATTTATTATTTTATATTTGTCCTTCTCTACCTTATTGTTGGCGTCTTTAATTTTGATGATTTTTTGAACTCCCAATTCGGGTCTTAGATATTTTAAGCCTGTTACTGGGCGCGTATTAAACGTTACATGCAGAAAAG